TTACACAGGACAGGACTTCTCCCAGGCCCTTTCTGTAATCATCCAGCTTCTTCACAGAAGAAGGGACCTCAGGGACATTATCACTGGAGTGGTTAACCAACTGGGCTTTTCTCTTACTTGATCAATGACTCAATTCAACACAAACTTAGTGAGTTCCTAGTCTGCATATGAATGGGAGTAGGGGCTGTCAAGGACAACAAGAGGAGAAAGAGAGAGAAACACAGAAAGAAAGAGAGTATATAAAAGATATTTGGCTTTTGCTTACCATTCAGGAGATTGCATTTGGTGGATGGGAAAGGAAAGGCAGAGTGTTTGATTTATCAATAATGATTTACTTGTACACTGCCTTTTTACAGAGAGGTAAAATTAAGGAGGTAAAAAAAGCAATTGTATATACACTTTGGCCATAACAGGCATAATATAAATGCCATAATCATTAAGAACATCCATTCAGAACCAATTCTAGTGAAACACTGTCTGACACCAGGATACATTATTAGAAATCAGAACTCCTCGGTAAAATCCAGGACAAAAATCCCCATTACTATAATAGAGATAAAAACAGAGTGCGCAAACCCACAAATGAGGAAATGACAAATTTGGCCTGGAATAGATGAGAGAAGGGGACATCTCACTAGGCCTTGAGGGATGAGTAACATTTCAACAAATGAACATGAAGGGAAATGCTTGCCTCTTGGGCTAAAGGAAGACTGGGCGGGGAGTTGTGAATGTTCATTCCAGGAATGAAGACAGTCTGATAGAGCTGGAGCCATGAATGAGTGGGCTGGGGGCAAGCAGGGAGAATAATATAGGATACAGCTGTAAAAATTGATTGGCAGCACATCGTGGATGACTTGCTATCACCTGCTAAGAAGTGTGGGTTTTATCTTTAGAGCAAATGAGATTCAAAGTTAAGAAGGCTTTGAACAGAAGAATTGAAATGAACAGATCTGTTTTATGAAGAGAACCCTGGTCACTCAATGAAACACAAGGTAGACAGACATAAAGATCAGGAGGAAAATCTGTTAAGAAGCTAAGATGACAGTCCAGGTTAACTCCCCTCAAAGAGAAGATAGTTCAGCAATAGCTCTGGTTGGATTTTTAATGGATTTATAATTTATAACTCTATATGATCTTGAGATTTTAAATCTTCTTTCTTATTCCCCACCACAACCACTGCGATTACAGACAGCTCCTCTTGCCCCTATACACATGCACATGCACACTCACATGCTGCAAACGTGTGCACACAGCACACACACACATTCACACAATATGAAGAATATGACCATTCCCCATAACACTGGGCTAACTTGAGAAGAGCAGGAGGTTGGGACACCAGTGGAGCTTTCAGCAGTAAAGGAAGCAAAGTTCCTTCCTCCTCAAGAAAGGGAAAGTGCCAGGTTATTTTAGTAATAAATTAACATTAATAATAAGTTAATATCAATAAAGGAGTCTGCAAACTACATAATTCAGATGTGTCCTATAACCCATTAAGAAAATAAAAGAAATTAGCACTGAACTGGCCATTTTTAGTGATTTAACTTACCCCAATCATAAGCATGTGTGCTTGATATATTCACTTACTTGTGTTAATTATCAATTTCCTACTTCCATACATATGAAGTGAGCTTTCAGGGAATTTTAATTTTCCTCAGAAAAATAAAAGAAATATGCAAAAATTATTCTTACATAGGAAAACAGAGATGGAGAAATAACAAACTCATCAGACAAATTTTCATGGACAGAAGGAATGTCACATGGTTCCAGGCACACTCATGCAAGGGTTCCAGTAACCAATGCTCCCAACAACCTTTTATCATCTTTATTTTCTTTCTTTTTATTTTATTTTCAACTTTTATTATTTTGGAGCAAAAATCAATAGTATATGGAAGGTGAGTAATTTGCTGAGTAGCTAGTAGTAGTAGTGACTAGATTTAAGTCTGGGTCTGTCAGAAATATTCATTGGGAGCTTAAATTGAAATTTAGAGGGAAGTGATAAATAGATTGGTATAGCGGAGGTAGGAGATGATTAGACCAAGAATGATAAGAGAAGTAGCAGAAATTGGTAAAGCAATTACAGGTGAAGAACCAGACAAATGGAAGAGGATGAAAAAATGACTGAATGAGGACAAAAAAGAAAAAAGAAAGCTGCTATACTATATCAATACTATAAATTGGAGTCACGTTATCCTTCACCCAGTTATTACACGACCCAGACGCATTCCTAGGAACATTTCTGCTTCTTCTATAGTATAATCAAATAGCGACAGTAACTTCAGCCTTAATGTAAACTTTAATTTTACATTTATTATTTCACTCTTCTATTCTACATAAATTGGTAAAGAATTTTTAAACAAATTTTGGAGAACCAGACTTGAAAGGAGCATACAAAAGCAAAGGGAGATCTCATGATATTTTCTTTCTGATTTGGTTTATTCCATGTACATGCTTTTAATTTTTTTCTCAAGTTTAATTTCAGAGCTCTTTGACTTGTTCATGTTAAGTAAAAACCTTTTAGTTAATTTAAATTTGCTTTTCAGGGAATTATTTTCAATTTAGTGGTAAATTTCTATCAATAAAGAAAAGCAGTTGGAGTTGTCAAAGTGTTCAAAGGAAACTCATTCTTATTAGCATTTCCTTTCATACTTATCTGATATAATGAAAACAAATGCATTGTTTCTCACACTTAATACTTCATTGCTAATGACATTTTTCTTTACCTATGCAGCCTTTTATAACTTTTTATAAATATCTCATATGACTTGTTCAAATCATATTTCTTATTGAAACTTAAAGACAAAAGAAATGTCATATTGAACTTAGACCAATGGTTCAACTTACTTCAGTAAATCTGGAGCTGATAAAGAGAGTATGTTATTTTATGAAGCATATATTTTGTCTTATCTGCTCTATAGAACCGTAAAACTTCTCTGATCTTTCATAGTTGGGTGTCTTAAGATGATATGAACATCCTACACACACACACACACACACACACACACACACACACAAGAATTTTCCAGAAAATAAGCCACTGGCTCACACTGCTCCACAAAAAGATAATTTTAGTCACTTCCCACATAATTATTAAAATGAAAAAAATAAAAATTTCCACGTGGGAGTACTGATCCAGCCACGCTCTTCCTGTATTCCTCCACGTTCTTCCTCTCCAGTTAACCCAGAGAACTTTAGTCCAAATGGCACCACCTGAGTCAGGCTTTCACTGTATTCTACTCAAGAGAGACTACTCATTCCGTTAGCACTTGACTCAAGTTTTGGTTAGAGTACCTATTACGTTTTATTCTGGTTATCTGTTTACAGGGCTGTCCAGTCTATCTCTTATACTACTGGCTCACAGGGGGAGCCCATCTTTTGATGCCAAAGAGAACAAACCAGCTCTGGATGGGCTAATCCTTAAGTGTGAACAGCTTTTTCACATCCATAAGCAAAGACAACTTAATATATTTCATATTTATAAGTAAATCTGTTGGGAACCCAAACCTCTTCCCCCAGAGCAGAAGTGGGATGTTAATAGCAGAGTTCCACTCTGGACTGTAATCGTAAGCCTGTTCTACCAAATCTTACATGCGAATACAGGCACGTGCCATAGGGAGTTCTTCAATACAGTGAGCCCCTTATTTTCTACCATATATCACCATCCTTTGCACATGGGTTCCTTATCCTAGAATCAGAGATCTGACTACGATTCCAAAAACCTTCCTTCAAGTTCCTTTTAGAAGCTCATATGTACAGAAGCCTAAATCCGAGAGATAGAGAAGAAAACTGAGATATCAAAGCAGTATTTCTATCTGAATATTGCTGAATTCTCCACTTTCAAAGAAAAGGCTTCATATTCTTTGCCACAATCAACGCACAAGTGTAACCTTACAAAATCTCTCAGCAATGCTGAGCAGTCACAGCCTCTATTACCCTTCCATGATTTTCCTTGTTCATTGCTTTATCTCCAGTACCTGATAAAGTCTCAAATAAATAAAAATATGCTCACTAAATATTTTTTGAATGAATGAAGTAACGCATAGCAGAGCAGGGATAGAAGTTCTGCAGTGAAGACTCAAGCAAGATAAGGGAAAGTACATCTGGCCCTTGGACTTGCTGTCCGCGAGGTGGTGGTGAGAACAGGCAGGAGGCAGCACTGGCCAGAAAAGAGTTGTCATTTCTGGAGTCATGAACTCAGAAAGGCATTGAACATTTGGACAGAGAACTAGATTCACGAAATGAACCATTCTTGGCATATATATCTGCCCCAAAGCAAGAAGAATTTACAGGAATCTTACTAAAACTTGGAGGAGGGGCTCTTCTGTAAAGTTTCTTCTGAGCAAGAGATATTAAGTGGAAATTGATAATAGATACTACGCATAACATTAACATGTTGTCTTTCCTATTGTAACATGCTTATTACTTAATTTTATCAGACATAGAAATATCGATGGGGCCTCCACGGGGTCACTTAATCCAGCTATCCTGCTTTTCCAGAGTCAACAAGTTAGTCAAATTAAATATTCCTACCAAGAAGGACTTTAGAAACCTGTTTGTATGACTAAGGAGGGACAGTGAACAGTTATTTTAAATCCTACTGGTTTTTACGTAACATATGTATTTACCTTATTAACATCTTAATTTCTATGGAAAAGGAATTGAGAGTTATATGTCCAACTAAATATACAAGGCCCATTTTTATCTGTCCAGCTTGCTAACATTATCTGTTCTGGACAAAATATTCTCTTTTCTTAGCTGTTCCCAACCCTCCTTTCCCACTCCTTTCTTACCTGCTAAAATCCTGCTAATACTTTAAGGCCCAACTAAAATGTTATCTACTCCTATGGAGACTGTCTAACTTAGAAGAGTCAGATGTCCTGCCATATGCAATCTTCACCAAGTCACACTCTCTGCTTCACATCCCTTACAACTCTTTTCCTTCTCGGCTCATGATCCTTTTGATGGCAGGTAGCAACTCTTTTCCATTTTTGTCTTTCCAGAACCTGAATATAGCAGATGCTCAATTAATATTGAATGAATAAGTCGTTGAAGGAGTGAATGAACAGGTACCCCGAATGAAGATGTCTTCTACTCTCACACTGGTCCATGGAAGGAAGAATCAATATCCTGAAGTGAATGAGAAATTAACAATTTGAGAACAAAAACAAAGATTCTTCATTACCAGTCCTGGCATGTGGTAAGAGGTTAGTACATGTCAATTCTCAGATAATCTAAATCCTCTTAATTTAGCTTCATATTTAGTAACAACTGTAACAAATATTTTCTCGCTCATATCATTATTTTAGGATATACTCCTACTTGATAAAAACAGATACAATTAGGATAAAATATTTATCTTTTAAGTGAATGGACTCTCCTAACACACAGCAGTCCCATTTGATATTCAGAAAAAGCCATTTCTTGAATAGTACTCTAACACTGGGGAAGTTTGTGCAATTCTATAGTTTAGTCCCAAAAGACCAGATCTCTTTTACAGGCCAAAATTATCCTTTGACAGAAAAGTGTGCTTTCAACAGTTGTGTGTGTTAGTAGATGTTTTTGAACTATAAGATCAGGCTTCATAAATATATCTCTCTGTTCTTTTTTATGCTGTGTTTATTCTGTTTGTTCAAGCCAAGAGCTAGGACATAAAAGGATGCTTTCTTGAGAGACTGAATATTAGAAAGTCATGCATCTAAGTGCACAGAACATTCAGTCTGCCAAGCACAGAATCAAATATCTGAAAATATAGTTTGATTTCTTGGTTAATAACATTGCACAGTTGCCAGCCTACCCTTCCTGAACAGAACTAGCTCCCTAAACAGAGCACAGGAACTATGAGAAATATTGTTGGGATAATGGGGTATGTCCAGTGGTACAGTGCCAAACTAGCCTCCAGGCTGAGAATCAAGTTTGGAGACAGACAGTGAAGGCTACATCCTTTCGTCCTATGAAACATTTTCCTTCAGTCGTAAAATACTAGAGAAGGATGATAACTAAAATCTGAGGCTGTAAATTTCTATAAACCCTGTGTATGAAGGAGAGGGAAGTGAGAATCAGGAGGTGACATTTCCAGAAAAGTTATCTAGATTTAAATTTAAATGTACTAGAATTTCTCATAAAGGCAATTCAAGGTTGAGAGAGGAACAAAGAAACAAAGCTCTATAAAACTACTGATCTTCAGAAGAGAGAAAGTAAAGTGAGAATAGGAGACAAAAAGGTTTGAGAATCATCAACTACCTGAAGCCAGAGCATTTGTATGTGGTCTAGATGGGGATTCACAAAGTCCAAATTAGTTTCATAATTATACTAAAACATTATTTGCCTTTTCATACCCATTCTGTCATAAACATACAGTGATGTTTTCCAAAATCTACATGGCATGTGATGTCACAACAGATTGAATGCAGAAGCAGAGATGAGAATCCAACTGCCTTCTATTAGGTCAGACACTAAAGAGATTGTCAAAAATATAAAACAGCACCATTCTTTTCATTACTTTTTTCTGGCCTTAGAAAACAAGTATAGTTGTTTTTACCAAATATGTTATTTAACATGATTATTTACTAGTTTTATTTTATTTTTTTATTACTAGTTGTATTTTAAATGTCAGTGCACATTTCCAGTATTTCTCAGTTTTTATTTTGAATATGGTAAATATTGATATATATTATCCATATAAACAAAAGCTCTGGGGGATCCTCAATACTTTCTAACATTCAAAGAGGTCTCAAGACCAAAAGTTTGAGAACTACTGGTTTATGCAATCTCCCCAATCTCAGCAAATGTCTTTATTATTCTCCCAGTTGCTCAAGCTAAGAATCTTGACCTGCTGGCTTCTTCCTATCTCTGCTCCATCACCATAACTTGAGATCCCATCCTCTCTGACGAGGCAAGAGCACCTTGGCTGCATCCTTGCTTCTACTCCTGACTCTCTCCAGTCCCTTCTTCAATTCATCAAGGTCATTTTATCCAACAGATGCCACAGCCTCAGTGTCCAGATCCTGGGAACTTTTCAAGGCTATGACACAATGTTTGGTACTTACGAAAAATAATCATTGACTCCAAACATTTTTTTAATATACAAAACAAAAATTAATTCATATTTATTTTAAAATCTAAAGATTGCCATATCAACTAGTCAACACAATTAAGTTAGTTATAAAAAAGTTACATTACATTAGGAACATGGGTGCAGTTTAACATGCACCCTAAGAATAGGATAAGGTCTCTAAAAGGGAGAGTAATTTGGTTCATGCCCACCTCTCCACTTTCATCTTGTTTATTTTCCCACCTGCTATGATATAACAACACTTTTGGGGTTACTGCAATTAGAACATGACAAGCTCCTTTCACCTCTGAGTTCGGGCACATGCAGTTCCTTGAGTCTGAAATATTCTCCAAACTATATTCCAAGTGAATTATTTCTCATGTCTCAGAAATTGTTTTTGTTTTTCAGAAAGGCTTTCCTTAGCCTTTCTATTAAAAAATAGATAAGTATTACGTCCCTAAGTTACTCTAACACTCCCAAATGTCTACTCTTTCACAGCACTACTTATCACGATCTTGTAATTATTTCATTTACCTATAGTTTGATTGATTATTATCTACATCTTCCAACAAAATTTAAGTTATCTTAGGGCAGAAATTAGGGATGAAAGATATGTACGTGTGGTATGAGAGGGAGGGGGATAGAAGTGTTTGACACCTAGTTCATGGCTGGACTAATAATAGAAGCTCTAAAACTATCTAAAAGGTAGATGAATAAAATATTGACTCCCCATTTAATAGTTATGTCCCCTTAATATTCAATGTTTCTGGGCCCCAAATTTCCTTATCTGTAAAACTGGGAAAATATTAGCTACCTTCTACACATTTATCCATTCATCCCACACAGATTGGTGGAGAATATACAATATTCAAGCCATTGTTCTAGACACTGAGAATTTAGTGAACAAAACAGACAAAAAATCCGTCTCCTCAGGGAGCCTACATTTTAGTGGGGGAAACAGAAAATAAACAAGTAAAGTGTATAATAATAAAAAAGTGGCAAGGGCTATGGGAAAAAACAAAGCAGAATAAAAGGATCAGGAAAGCCAGGAGTGGGTGTGTAGGGGATGCAATTTTAAATAGGGTGATTAGAAAAGGTGAAAGGTAACATTTAAGCAAAGACCAAATGGGCATTAGAGTGATGGGCATTGGATGAGTACAAAGGTAAAGTGCATGGCCAGAGGTAGCCACTCAACAAACAGTTATTATTTTTGCTAAGTGCACTACCTGGAAAAGAACCAAGGGCACAACCCAAGTTGCTTCAGACCTGAGAAAAAAACCTTCCTCATTGAGATAGTCCATTTCAAAAATGAGGCTTTGGGTGGTAGGGCATTCTTTTGAATCAGGAGTCTTGTGGCTGAATTATCCTAAAAGCATTTCCCACTTCCCATGCTGCTCTAGGATTCTGATTCTTGTAAGCCCTCCTTGGATGGACATACAACGAAACTTGACCAGGCTGTGTCAAGGAATTCTCCAATTTCCTGGGAAGAGGATGGTGCTTAGGACCCACAGTCAGCCTGACAATAAGAAGGTACTCTATTCCTGCCAACTCTCCAGGATTGAAAGGCTGTCCCTGTCCCCCGAGTTGGAATAGATTAATAACAACAACTGCAATAAAAATGGCTACATATTTTGAACAGCTGTACCATTTATTTCTCACAACAGCTCTGAGATATGTACTATCATTACCCCAGCTTTCACACCAGGAAGCTGAGTCTCAGAAACTTAAGTGGGCAAGCATTAAGTGGCTGATGAGGTGTCTCTGCCTCCAAACACTGTGCCACAAGACTTCTCTATTATTTTACTTTCCTAAACACCTATTAAGGAGGAGAAGAAAAACCTCACTGATATAACTTTTGGAAATGAGTCGAGATTTCCTCATCTTCTCTAGGACGGAGCAAAGCAATGATATCTTTGAGTGAAGGGGAAATAAGGTATAGCTTATACAGAGATGGGTGTCCTAAAGTACCCACAGAACACAAGTTCATTGGTCATTGTAAACAACTTCTGTAGCATGCCAGGAATACTGATGGACAGAAAAGTTATGAATAATTCCTTTGGAATAGCTACATGCCTTCAGATCCTCTGCTGGTTCATCAAGTGGCATCCCGTGAGATATTCTCCCCCTCCAAATTAACTCAAATGTTCACACGCTTACTTGTGGTCCCCTTAGTTGTGAACTGTCTCTGGGCCTAAATAAACCTACTTATGAAATTCTGAACTCTCCTGGAACAACGATCCCATCTCTGAAGATATTTGATTTATGTCTGTAAAGTTACTCCAGGATGAGATAAGGAATAATTACAGAAAAGAGTCTGTTATTGACTCTTGGCTGTTTTTGAAGTTATTTTTCTCAGAAATGTGACAATTATAAGACAGAAATTAATATTTTACTATGTTCCTAGTGAGACATAATGACTGCTTTTTCAAAAGGAAATGATAAATGCTAGTATGAAACTGAACTATGACAACTAATGACAGCAGGGAGACAAATTCTGATTAAAGCTATTGTACTGTAGCTCCTCCAAATCCGATGAATATCTTTAGAAATTAAAATATATGCTGCACCTTAAAATAAGAAAGCAGTCAGTAAATTCTCCACGAACATTCAAAGTTCAAGAAATAATACTACCTTGAATTATCATAAATAGTACAATTTGATCTTTACGATCTATGAAAATGCCATTCACACAGTTCAATCTGAAAATAAAGCTTGCATTTTTAAAGTGTATTATTTCCAATTATTCTGACTTTAATACGTATGGGTTTCTATAAGTTAAAAAAACATCATTCACTCTCCTGTCCTGTACTTGCACAAAACTTTAATGACCACATGACTCCCAGGACACAGAAATAGATAAATACATCAGACTGAAAATAATGGCAAAGAGATAGAAAGGAAAAAATAAAAAGAGATAAGGGAAGAGAGGGAATGAGAAAGGGAGAAGAGAGACATATGGAAAAATTGACAAGAGAGAGAGAAAACAAAGAGAGAGAATACAGTGAATGAAAGAGAGACCTAGAAAGAGAGAGAGAGCAAAGGAGAGGAAGGAGCAGAAGGAGATAGAAGAGAAGGAGGAGGAAGAGAGATAGAGAAAGAGAGAGCAGGAGAGTAGAGGAGGGGAGAGAAGCTCAAAGGAGAGGAGAGGAAGGGAGAAAAGGGGACGAGAGAGGAGAAGAAAGAAGGGGAGAGGAGAGGAGGGGGGGAGAGGAGGAAAGAGGAGGGGACAGAGGAGGAGAGGAAGAGACAGGAGAGGAGAGGAGAGGAGGGGAGAGCAGAGGAGAAAAGGGGAAGGGAGAGGAGAAGAGAAGGAGAATGGATCTCTCTGCTGTGAAAAGTATCTCTTTCTGAGCATATGCTGAACCATAAAAGTTTACCAGCTGTCTGATCAACACCCACCTCAGAGGAAAGCACCATTCTTGAATTGAGGCAGATTTCCAGGATAGTGATGTTATTGGTTGTTTTTTGCTTATGTTCTGTTTCGTACTGTTTCACTAAGCTTAGTTATAAAGGAAAGCATAAGATAGTGGAATTAGAAAGATCTCTGTTCAAAATATTGGCTCTACTTCTTACTGACTACATTAATTAGAGCAAATAACGTAACTTCTCTGAGTCTTACTCTCCTCTTCTTTAAAATGGAGTTAATTATATCATCTGCCTTGCATGGCTTTTGATAAAGTATCAATAAATACTATGTACATGTAGCTATATTAATATAAATACCCCAGATTTAAAATAAGTTATTTCTGCCTAAAGAAAAAGACAGAAGGAAATAATCCACGATGGGAACAGGGGTAGTGTTCGGATACTGGTTTTGGAGAATCTCTTTTTTTTTATTGAGATTCTGATAGTTTACAACATTGTGAAATTTCAGCTGTACGTTATTACTAGTCAGTCATCTTATAGGTGCGCCCATTCACCCTTTGTGTCCACCCCACCCCCAAGTTTATATTACTAGCATAATGGAAATGCACGCATTTATAAAATGTTTAATTTGAGTATCCAATACTGTACATTATTTGTGATATTTAAAAGGTAAAGTCACAGAACATTGTTTTTTTTTTTAAAGATTGGCACCTGGGCTAACAATTGTTGCCAATCTTTTTTTTTTTTTTTCCTGCTTTATCTCCCCAAACCCCACCTGTACACAGTTGTATATCTTAGTTGCAGGTCCTTCTAGTTGTGGGATGTGGGACACCGCCTCAACGTGGCCTGACGAGCAGTGCCACGTCTGCGCCCAGGATCCGAACCCTGGGCTGCTGCAGCGGAGCACGCAAACTTAACCACTCAGCCACGGAGCTGGCCCACATTGTTCTTTTCATGTTCTATCATGAATTGATCTTTTTAAATCACTGCCCATCCCTGCTGTCTGATGGAAACACTTTAAAATGATCCAGGAAAGTACAGCTCTTAATCTACACTTTCCAGTGCCAAAATTTCTGTTTGGGCACAAAATATCTACCATCTAGTTATGTGCATTCTTAGAAAGAAATAAAGTGGACTCTCAGCATTATAGATTTAACATTCATAGCTTACGTTACAGAAGTGACCCCAAAGTTCCAGGACATGAAGTCAGTTTGTTGTTCTGCTGAGACATGGCTTATTATTACAAGCACTTCAAGGCTGGTGTGAAGAATGAACCACGGAGTTAGGGAGAGAGCCTAGCTGAGGCACGAGAAGACACATCTCAACCCAGTTTTATTGTTCTCTCTTTTATTTATTCATCTTATAGAGGAAATCATATGCCAAACAGGTACTCATGAATCCGAGGATCGACAAGTTCCCTGGAGGGACCACTAACAAATGGTGAGAGCTTATTGTACACCAAAAAGTTATGAATATTTGAAATCCCTTGCCTCAAACAGGTCAGACCAACACATTACACTTCTTTAATGTACTCTTTGGGTACTGAGTGTAACCCTTTATGGTAGGAAAAAATGTAAGTCTCATGGAAAAGATGTACCCGGTACTGTGATGTGTCCAGATGCTCTCTGAATTCCTCTGAATTGGGGGGGTACAAGTATAGCCGTTGTTGTAATATATTACTGAACATTTTTTGGCATGAAAGATTCATTTTTTACCTAATAAAATCTCTGAATACACTGTGAAAGTAATGAAATAATAAGTTCTTAGCATCCAGATTTCCTTTGGGATTAAAGTGAGAATAAAATAAGAATTGCCTTTCATTAAATTTTCTTATTATGTCTTATGAAAATTAATTACCCCTTGAACAGACCCGATGTAAAACAGTTATACATTGTATGTCTCCCATTTCCAGCATAGCATCTTTTCAAAAAATTAATTATAGCCAATAGTTTCAATTCAAAGGGGAATAATTAAAAGCAGTGTGGGGGAGTGAAGAGATAATGATGTCATTTTAAAATTAATTGAAGCATTTAAAAATTAACTGGCCTTTCCTAAAGTTTAATTTCTGTTAAAATATAATAGTTTATATACATACATGAGTATTCAACATTTATATTAAATCTGATTTTGAATGTTATAGTCTGAGAAATAATAGTTATTTAATAATAAACTATTTTAGTTTAATAGTTAATTTCTCTTATTTAAAAAAATCCTTCAATTTGTGTAAGACAAAATGAAATGTCTTAGATAAGAAATTTCTTTAAACTGAAAACAGTAGCTTGAATGTCACTGTCTGCTAAACTTTGTCTATGTATGGGATCTTACGAAGGTCAGAGACAATATCCTTTGGTGTTCTTTAATTAAATTAGCCCACTAGAAGTATGGCATCTTTCTGATGACCTTTAGAGTTACAACGACAAAATTCCAGAAAATAATGCTGCTTCAGACACTCACACACATATCGCCAACCTCAGAAATCATGGCCCTGGTCATGAGTCTAGTTCTATCCATCACAGGACATAGGCAGAAGGCTCACTGTATATTTCCCTTTGTCATCCCAGTAAAGATGCTCCCAGGGATGAATGTGTACAGGTAACGAGTGGCAGTTTCCAGACTGGTGTAAGTGAATCGAAGGATATAGCCCAGGTCTCACGCATTTTTCCACTGTAGTCAATAGGCCTGATTCTTGTCCACTCAAAAACATCTTATTTAAGCTTCAGTGATATACTTCCACCACGTTTGAGCCAGTCACACCCAAAATGGGACAGAGGAGGCCAAGTAGAGATTAATTTACCTAGAATGTTTTTCCACGAATCTAATTCTGCTCTGGAGCCATCACTCCTGAGAGTACTGAATTTATTGCAGTTTCTGGGAATTTTCCTTTTCTGAAAGAATAAAAAATATTAGGTAGAAGTAAGAGTTAACTGGAAAATGACCAATGCACCTACTGGATAACACTGTAGCTAAAGACATAGACACGCAAATAAGTCAGCCTTGGTCATTTCATTCATCATCACTGTAACCACCAGGGGGCCCCCGGCTTTGCTTCCACCTTTACTCTGATTCCCTGTTCTTTTCCAGAATTTGCTCAGCTCCTGACCTCACAGTTTTCATTACCATCTCTGGGCCCAATATGTTCCTTACACTGCATTTGACTTCTCTGTTTTTATACTATTAATATGAGGGGCATTAGTCAGTTTTTGTTAGAATATGTTGCAGTAACAATGAAAACAGTTCTCAATGGCTTATGAAATCAAGGTTATTTCTCACTCACATCATATATTGAATATTGATTAGCTGTGGCCTGCTCCTCATATAGTCTGGAATCCAAGCTGAAGCAAAAACAAAAACAATTCTATCTTATACACTGCTGTTCCCATGGCAGAGGGAAAAAAAAGCAACGTCAGACCCATGTGAAGGCTCTTAAAGCTTGTTCCCAGAAGTGGCAGTATCAGGCCACATATATTTCAGCAGCCAGAGCAAGTGACATGGCTAAACTGAATGTCAAGTGGATGAGGAAGTATAATCCTCTCGCACAGAGGAGTGGAGGGGTGGTGAACGAGGATGCAATTCACTACAGATGTGGCCGCTGTGCTCAACAACTCTGACTCACCTCTGGCCCCCAGGACTCCAATCCCAGGCTTACATACCTTGGTAGGCTGATAAGGAAACAGATCCCGTTATTGTCAATATGAAACCAGCACGGTTTAAGAAGGAAATCATGAAGTTGAAGGCAGCCCTGACTTCCATAGAAATATGCTTTGACTTGACCCTTTTTTTTTTTTTTCAGTTCAGTCAACCTTATATGTCAGGTGTTTTACAGGAATCACAGGGTCTAATTTATGGTGCATCATTTCATCTGAGATACATGTGAGACTCATGGGCAGTTATGTCAGCTCCCATCGATCTGTTATGATCCTGTCTTTTCTTCCTTCCCAGCTTCTCATCCCCATGGAGCCTCTCCAAGCCCACAGCTCCATCTGAAGTGATTTTCTGCTCTGGAAGAAACTCCCAAGAGTCATATGTCAAGACCAGAAAATAAAATAAAATTAAATTAAATTAAAATGGGTCCATTGTGCATTATTGCTCATCCTTTCAACTTCTAAATCCAGTAACTGAATATTTATATATCCATATACAATTATTGCCTAAACCTATATATTTGTTTTATTCCATGTAGATTTTAAGGGCAGTTTTCAGACTTTATAATTATAATTGTTAAATGTGTGTCATTCAACTGAAATGGACAATGTCATGCTTTTATAACACATTTAAACATTTCTGCTTTGCTTCTAAACAAAATGGTTCACTTCAAGACACTGTTTTCTCGTGGTTTTTAAAATCCTAGGTTATATCAAGAAAAAGATTACAAAGCTCCTCTTCAATCCTTATATGTTAAGACGACACCCAAGAATTAAAGGCTACAGAAAGATAGCTTATTTGTACAGAGTGAAAAGAGATGGATATACGGAAAAATATCCATGTTAATATCTAAAGTTAATTTTGATGATGGTTACACAACTCTGTGAATAGACTAAAAATCACTGCATTGTATACTTTAAATGAATGAATTATGTGGAATGTGAATTATATCTCAGTAAAGCTGTTAAAATACACATATGTGTGTTTATTCTTAATATCGTTGCCTTAAACCAACATTATTTGTATCTAGTGTAGATAGATATCATGCTGTAAACATCTCTCTCATACCAAGTGTCACTTCTTCCTGGATTTTATCTTAAAGATGACTATTGAAACTCTCATTTCCTCCCCTCTCCCCCTCCCTCCTACTCCCCATCCCCTTGCTGTCAAAAAGACTCCCTCCTTTTCAAGGCAGTCCTCCTGCCACAACTCAACTTCCTTAAGCACTGCAGCCCAACCCACCTCTTCTGCCTTGACTGAAACTATCCTTCTACTCTTTTCTAGCTGCTCCTTGAACTCCACTGTTCCTCCCATGGTGCCAACTTGGTACTGGTAACCTTCACGGGAGAGGGGGGATGAGAAAATAGGGGAAAGGAAAAGGAGTCTTTATCTCTGACTAAAACCCTACCATCACCCATCCTTCTGTTCAGATCAAGACTATACATCCCTGTGATGGTTAATTTTATGTGTCAACTCAACTGAGCTAAATGATGCCCAGGTAGCTGGTAAAACTTTATTTCTGGTTATATCTGTGAGGGCGTTTTGGGAAGAGATTAGCATTAATCAGTAGACCTAGGAAAGAAGGTTGCCCTCACCAATATGAATGGGCATCATCCAATCCAATGAGTTCCAGATCAGAACAAAAAGGCAGAGAAGGGAGAATTCACTTTCCCTGGTTGAGCTGCAATATCCATCTTCTCCTGTCCTCAAACATTGTGCTCTTGGTTCTTGGGTCTTCTGACTTGGACAGAATTACAGTACCAGCTCTCCTGGTTTTCCAGCTTGCAAATGGCAAACTGTGAGATTTCTCAGCCTCCATAATTGCGTGAGACAACCCTCGTAACAAATCTATCTATCTATCTAGCCTCCATCCTATTGGTTCTGTTTCTCTGGAGAACTCTGATTAATACAATCCTTACCTACCAAAGCAAAGATCTCTAGTCTTTTTAAAGCTAAATACTGGACTGCGTGCTGTTCTATACACTAGGAAGAGTTAAGAAAGAAGGCAGTAGGGAAAAGGAAAAGCGCTGGGGAGGAAATCCGGATCAGACTGTCACTGCTCTGTCTTCCTTCTCTGAATTCTACCTTCCTTGATGACTCCCATCTCCCAGCTCAGTAGGTGATCTCCTACTTTTGAGCTCATCTTCAAAGGCCATGGTTGTTCTGAACACAAAATAAGGAGGCAGTTCTATTTAGTATGCAAATTCCTGAAAATGAAGTCAGAAAACTCCAGGCTATTCCCAGTGCCCCTAATGTGTTGGGTGCATTTTTCCATAGGGTTTCCCAATTCCCTGGGTTTGGAGAGCAGCTCTAGGTGTCTCCATTTCAGCTGTAAACACTTTACATTGTTATTGTTTCTCTCTCCTTAGATAATGAAGCCCTTCATGGCAGAAACTGTGCCATAATCGTGTTTCCCTGTGCCTCGAACAGTGCCTAACTCATAGAAGGTGCCTCATATGTTTGCAGAATAAACTTCCAAGTGCCATACTCCTGGTTTCAAAATCCCACCTCATGTCATCCCCTGTTTTCTTTAATCACTCACTTGGCCCTTTTGCCAAGCAATTTGATACCATTTCCCTTTCAACTATTTATCACAGTGATGCCCTCATGCTCAGTCCACCACCCATGATGGAATTATTCTATACTCACACCTACCCAGATTCTGCATACTACAAATAAATAGTAAACAAAAATACCACTATAAATTTGCACGGCCCTCATCTTTTGTTTTTCTTGTTCAGTTAACACAAACTGGCTCCACTTGTCTCTACTGCAATCCTTTTAAGTAGTAGGGAAAGATCAGAAAACAGGGAAGAAGAGAAACATTACTTACCAGGAGTTTCTACAGTAATTTCCTGCAAAGCTGAAATCTAAATAGTGATTGCAGACCCAAGTCAAGTATTCTTTACATAAGATTGTTTTTGCTTGATTTTGCTCCCCATTCTGAGCATAAGGCAGAAAACATATTTAAGGGATTTGGGAGAGAAAAAAAAAACCTCAACATCCACACCAGAGTTTTACGCTTAGATTTTCCACTACCACCAGCAGGTAAACTTGGTCAAAAATATCTTGCGGCCTGTATATCTTTTAAAGCTTTTCTAGTTTAAAACACACACAGCAAAATAATTCTGCTTGATGGTTTAATAGCTTTTATTTAAAAAATGCACAAGTTTGGGCTTAATCTGAAATAAACTTTGCGTAGCAAATTAGAAACACCTAAGGCATCTCTTTCCCTCCATGCTGTAAGCGAATCAGTCCCTAGTGCAACACTGAGTCTGGCTTGTGAAAACACGAAAACCCAGCCTGCGGTTCTGCGTGTGTACCACACAAGCCTAGAATAACACCACCTGTGTTAGCTAAAATGCAATCTATTCCAAGTTATCGTTGCAATTCAAAACAGGATCTAAGTTGGATGAAGAAGCCTTTCTAATCCATAGCATTAACCAGAGACATTGGAAACTTTGATCTCGTAGCATCACATTGCCTTTCCATCTATGCCCACATAGGGCGCAGTGCATATTAACGGAGGAAGCTGAGACTTTCACAGTGCTAGAAGTTGACTGGTTTTTCTGCAAGGATAGATAACACACACACTTGCCAAGCCCCAGTTTCTCTAGCCTCTAGGCCTTTGCATTTAACACTAGTTCCCCAGCTCTGCAATTCTCTTGCCCTCCCCATCCTGTATCTAACTCTCCCTTCCTCTTTAGTTAACTAACTCCTACATCCCACAGCTCTCAGTTTAGATCACAAATGTTCCAATCTCCCAGACCTGTTAGCATGTCTGGGTTAGGCCAGCCTTTTATATGAGCCCAGAGCACCCTGTACACCTCCGTGTATTAATATTCCTCACAGCATTTTATCATTTCCCATCTATTTTTCTGAATCCTTCACTAGGTTATAAGGGTAAGGCCTTCTCTATTTTGTCTGTACTTAATACCCACCACCCAGCACATTGCTAGGTACATGGGAAGCTTCCGCAAATGCTTACTGAATGAATGAAGGAGTACTCATAAGACCCTTCTTGCTTCTGTGGCTTCCTTTTCAAACTGCTCCTTCCTTAAAGGAAGATACTTGATTAAACAGAAATTTAATTTTTTACATTTAGTTTCTTCTTATAATTATCATGCACATTAAATGAGCTACTCTTTCAGCAGTTTCAAAATAGTAATAAACCAGGTAGAAAAATATAATATCAGTAATTTAAAATCTGTAGTCTAATGGTAATAATCAAGAAATTCTGTTCCAGCAATAATAAATGTACTACTACAAATATTCAGGTGGAAAGACAGCTGAGTGGAGAGTAAGCAATGTGAACTGCTGGTTCAGAGCAGGGGCTTGATCCCCATGATAGTTCTGCTCTTGTTCTGGGCACACACGTTGCTCATATGGTAACCCCTGCCTGATCCCCTCCTTATCTAGCCACCTGCTCTCTGCAGTTGGACTGGATCATGTAACTATTTCCGGCCAATAAATTGTGGACAAAAGTGACATGCACTGACTCCAGAACTAGAGGAGTTAATTGCTAGTCTGAGAATCTCCAGCCTTATCTGTGTCCTGCCACCTCAACCAGTGACGTTCCAAAGGATGGAATGCATTTTAAGCAGGGTCTTGAAACAAGGTCAATACAGAAAAAATTCCCTGCCAGTGTCCATGGCCAGGGGACATACAGCATGAGTTAGAAATAAATGACGCTGTAGGGCTCTTTGTTACTGTGCCATAACACAGCCTACATGGACTAACTGAATTCCTCTCTGTGCTCTTGTTTGAATAGGGGTACCCAAGGGGTCCCTGGTTCTCGGAAGAGAGGAACTCAGATCAGATAGAAAATTCTCACCAATATGCCAGTTTGGGGCACATGCCAAAAACAGGTTTGATTATGTCCTTAAAGATAGTCACCAGGTACACTTGTCTCTGCAAGCACTTATTGAAGTCATTCTTACACGGCCATCTCTCTGGTTCTGTCTCTTCTGCCTCCTTCTTCTACTTTCAAGAACCCTCATGATTAGATTGGGCCTAACCAGATAATCTAGGATAATCTCCCTACTCTAAAGTCAGCTGATTAACAACATTAAAGCCATCTGCAACATTAATTCCTCTATGTCATGTAATCTAACAAATTCACAGATCCCAGTGATTAGGACATGGACATCTTTGGTGGGCCATTATTCTACCTACCACCTTGAGTTAAATTGCAAACTCACTGGAGGGCATTTATAGCTTCTCAGCATCATATCTGAGGTAACACAGTAGCCATTCTTCACTAAATCTTATTTGATATGGTTCATAAACACACTCTATTAGATAGGCTATTCTAATCTTCATTTACAGGATAAGAAACACATTGAAAAAAGCCCAAACCATTTTGAGTTTTTGAGGCCCCTAGAACTGAACAATTATAGTACTTTTAATTATTTAAATTGAATTAGTTAACACTTTTAAACAACAAAAACGTGTGAATGTATATATAACCATATTTGGAGATGATGTCAAAAGTTTATAAACTTGAAAAGAGACAATGGTGTCCTCCTACACTAGGAACAGCAGAAAGGCTGAATAACTTGTCCCAAATTCTGAAGGTCCCTTCCCCCAAACCTGACTTCAAATTGTTGTTAGGAAACCGATAAAGGATGGATAAATGTACCTGAATGACAGCATTCCTCAAGAGCACGAAGAGAAGTGAAGAGCATGTGCTGGAGCCATGTTATTTACGTATTTATGCTATTTATCTTTAATGGACAGGTGTTAGAAATGAATTGACAATGTCTAAATGCTAAGATTATTTGTTCCTTATAGACCACAAGCTGTAGAATCGAGGTGGTACAGATGTATACATTAATGTAAGGATGGGTCAGCCTGCAGCCTCCTTGCCAGTCAATATCCATACAGCCTTGATAATTCAGAGGAGAAAGCCCTGAGCGTGCATTTTGCCTCTAAGTATGTATTTAAAAAATACTTACTAATGAATATCAAAATGGAAATTTTGAAGTGGCATCAAAAGATATTTTTCAAAAGGCAAGAAATATCATAGTTCAGGTAAGATTAGGAGAGATTAATTAGACATATGCCTAAAAATACATTCCCACAGCTATTAAGCTTTCGTCCTGGGGAAGCTATGCTAATAACTAAATCATTGGTACTACTATGACATTATCTTTTTGAAAACAAAATTCAAGATGACCAGTTAAATATTAAGACCCAAAGACATGTGCTGATGTTGCTAATGTGAAGTTGGCTTTGCAAAATAAGATGCTTTCTCCTGCCTCCAGATGGAGTAGAAGGGATCATTTCCACATATCACTCTACTACCAGTGGGTTGCTCAACTTTTCCTGTAAGAACGATCTCATTAGGATACAGTCCTTCTCAGGCTAACAAGCAAAATTTCCATAAGCCTCCAAAACAATGGTAATGTTCTTCATTTATCTAGCACTGTCTTCTTGTGTGGTGACCAGGGCTGCAATTATTGTTTCCATCTCTCAGAGGAGGAAGCTGGGTCTAACAGACGCTAAGGACTATTGAGCAAGTAAGTGCAGATTTGGAACCATATGGCTCCAGCTTTTAGCCCTGTGTTCATTTCAGAAAACTATCTTGTCTCCAAGAGGGCAACTTGTTTACAAATGATGTTCAAATTAAATTTGCATTATTGTGGCTTCCACATCTTTGTGCACTGGATGATACAGAAGAGATTACTTTGGGACTGAGAGGTTGGCCTGCTGGCCTATAAAGACTCTTGGAAACTCTGGGTGTCTATTAGTCATGCACATTTGCACAATTGTGTCTTGTCTGTACCCATACAAACTTGAATGCATTTCACAGACTCATTACTCATCAACTCTTAAAGTGAATTAAAATTTTATTTAATGTTATGTTATCAAGAAATGAAACTAGTTGTCAAATACTAAAGATAAAGTATTCAGCAGCTATGTATTAGCATATAATGCTTTTTAGTGAGGAGGAAAACACGCTCCAGAAACTTCTGGGGTTTAAATCAAGGTCTCACAACTTCCCGCCTGTATGAACTAAGCCACAATTTCCTCTTGAAAAAGGGAAAAAGAATCTATGGTTGCCTCATGGGGTAGTTATGAGGATTAAATGAGATAATCTATATAAGTCAATTGTTTTCAACTAAGGTACATTCCTCCCATCCAAGAGACATGTGGCAATGATGAGAGTTTAGGGGCATCATAGCTTGGGAAGAGGTGCTACCGGCATCTAGAGGGTGGAGGCTGGAAATGCTGTTAAAAACCCAACAATGCCTTACAGGACAGCACACCACAATAAAGACTCACAAGGCCAAAGATGTTAATAGTGCCAAGACTGAGAAACTCTGATTTAAGCTCACGTTTCAGAGTGCTCAATATTGTTATCTATTATTAACATTATTAAGCCTCATGCTGGGTATCATGCCATGAATCAGGGACCCAAAATTGGCTAAGGTAGGCCTTTGCCCTTGAGGGCACCATTAGCTGTAACTTTTAAGCGTAAATAATTAAAATGCAATACCATTCATTCATAGGGTCATTATCTGCAAAGCAATATGGAGGGAGTGTACACTACTTCTATTTGTGGGAATTGGAGAAGGCCCCACAGAGAATATAGTATTTCCCTTGGACCTTTAAATATGATAGGAATTTGACAGAAAATGGATGGAAGGGTTTTTGGTATGAAGGTTACGCGTCTGTGGAGGGGAAAGATGTTGAGGTATTAAAAATATTACATAAATAAAAGGTATAGTATTTGCAAAGGCTAAAAAGATGATTTCAGAGTTGTCATATTCAAGATATGATGACTTCATTAGTGGGAGTAAAGAATATGATGGATTTGGGTATGATTCTGGTCCTAGAGTGGTCATGGGATGTGAAGAGAAGCTGGAAACAGATGGAATAGTTAGGAGACCAAAGTGAGAATCCAGATGTAAACCTCAACCAATATAGGGAGTAGGAGTGGGAGCAGGGGATAAAGGCACAGAGAGAGAACTCAGAGAAAGTTCAGAGGTAGAACCAGCAGAAGCTGGCTATCATTCGAATGTTGAGACAGGCCACAGTTATATTAAACACTGGGCTATGGCACCCCCTTCTTGACAGCCAACCCGTAGACATCATTAGACAAATATGAGATAATGTGAAAGAATGTGAAGCAGCAAAACTGATATTTTGAGACAAATTGTCCTTGCATTAATATTTTTGTGGGGAGGATATTTGTAGATGAGTTTTCAGGTTGAAAATAGAAAATCATAGGTGGTAAAAGAAATTTCATAATAGTTGAGATAAAATTTCCTGATCTGTGATGGAAATAGGTAGTATTCATTGTTCACAGTTTTTAAACATGTAAATAAGAATAAAGTTCTTTAACCAAAAATCCTTAACTTAGAATTTAGGTTTTTTATTTTTTTGTGTATCAAAGGACGCTTCAGGTTTTTGGCATTCAAACTTCAGTTGACAATTTTTCTAAGTAAAAACAAGAATAAATATCAATATACTCAGTCTTAGTACTTCAATACTGTCGAGTGCCAAAAAGAACTGTTGGTTGCCAAAACGCAATTTCCAACTTATGTTCATTGGCACAAAGAATGAATAGAGCCACATACTTGAGCCAGTAACAGAAAACTGCTTCAGAGACTTAAAAAAAAAAACTTCAATTATTGAACTGAAAAAAAAAAATTAATTATTTCTAAATGAATACAGAGCCAAAATTAGTGTATATTAGTCAATTCTTTGTTTGAAAGTATTACTACCAATGGAGTTGTGAATGATACTAAAACAAAAATCCACCCATGCTCCTGACCAGGTCCTAGAACTGCCTGCATGGTCGTGAATTTCCTTCAAAGATTGGTAAACAGTGGCTCTTTAGTGGGTGCTCTTCCTTATCTTTGCATAATTTCCAAGGTGATTTAAGAAGTTGACTATTGCCCTGATGCAGTCTATTTGAAATCCTTCAAGGAAGTGAACAGGAAGCAGAAAATTGCAAACTGCAGCAATGCAAAGGCAAATGGATTTTTGAAAACAGCTATCCTGAATACAGTGTTGGAACCTGCTGTAATGAAAAGAAGTGGAGGCAGAGTAATGCATCCTTAACCAGGAGCCATCTGCTTAAGTATATTTTGCTGTTATCATCAATCTACCTGGGTCTTAGTCTTTATAAAAGGTAGATATCCCACATTTATTCTTAAACTGCATGAATGTTTAATGATCAGGTAGGTTATATAAAGTACACAAATTAATTGTCTGACTGCTATTCATTTTCATGCATTTTGGCTTTTTAAATCTTTCCTTTCACTGATGCAAATTTAATGATTTATATATATGCCACAGGCAATGTAACAAGATAGGTGCCCCAGATACACTCGTACAAACAATTCCTTTAACTTTTCATCCTGTCATGAGAGGAGAACATTCAAAGGTTCATCTTACCCTCGGTGCCTGGAGCCGTGTCAGGCTCCATCCTGTCCCAGATGCCATTTATTGGATTTCCAGGTCTCTGACTGGTTAAAGCAATGCTAGTTTGCTCTCAGACTTTAGGGATCAAGCTTTTTGGTTCCTTCCTCTCATCTCTAACTATTTTCGCCCAGGCAATACTCTGGTTATCTAGCTGGACAGCCCAGGAGGACCCTAGGCAGGAGCAGAGTAAAACCATTCCCTTTTGGACTTTGATCAGGATGAAAATAACATAACTGGGAGACAGCAATTCATACAACGGTTAATTGGAAATAGACCAAGAGTTCTGAAGCAGTCTGGCAATGTTCCTGCTACACTTTGGGGGTGGGAACAAGCCAAATTACAAAAATTTCAGTGAACAGGAGGCATCATAGTAATAGTATTACTAATAGTCCTGTGCTCTGGGGGGAACAGAATTTTGTTATGATAAGACAAGTGGTTCATTTCCATAGATATTTTGTCTTTGCTTGCACTCTAATATTTTTTTGTCCCTGATCTATCCGTAACATATAGTGAGCATCCTCCATGTGGCCGGAACTATATTCCTCGCTGAAAATAAAATAGCAGTATAATTAAATAATGGTCCCTTCTATCATGAAGCTTACGGTCTAGTAGGGGAGGCTGATATTAATCCACAACTTCATAAACAAATATGTTACCAACTACGACATGGCCATGTGTGCTGCGAGGCGAGACATCAGAGAGGGCTTACCTAGACTGCCCCCAAGGAAGTGATATTTGAACTGATAACTGAAGGACGGAGCAGGAATTAACTAGGGAAACAGGTGAGAACAGAGAACTCTGGATAGATAGATTAACTCCTGCAAATGTCCTGAGACTGAGACAAGAGGAAGCACAAAGAACTGAAATTAAATCACTGTGACTAGAGCCCAGGGAGAGGCTGGAGGCAGGCAGTGCTCAATTTTAGGTCACATAAAAGATTTTGATCATTAACTTGGGAACATATGGGAAATGACCAAAGCATTTTAAGGAAGGGAATAAATAATCAGACTGACACTTTAAAATAAAATAGATGAAGACAGAGCACTTAGGAGGTTATTGCAATAATCCAGGAGGAGATGATGTTAGCCTGGATAAGCTGATGATGGCAGAAATATAGAGAAGATGAAGATGGACTTAAGAAATTTAGAGGAGATTATTTGATAATAGGCTTGGTGACGGGAAGTGAGGGAGAGTGGATCAAGGACGATATCTGAATTTCAGGCTTGTACCTCTGTAGGGATATTAGCTCTTGCCAGAGAGGAAAGGATGATCTCCCTTTTGGTTTGTTTATTTGGATGGGGTCAGAATTCAGGGGAGTGGAGTGTGAGTTCTAGACTCAATGAGTTAATTTTAAGATACTTTTGAGTAATCTAAGTAGCTGTCTGGGACTTGATTTGCTATTTGGATTTGGAAAAGAGAAGTCTGAGCCCAAGATTAAACTCTGCGAATTGTTGTCATAGAGATGGGAATTGAAACATTTGGCATGGATAGAATTTCCTGGAGAAAACATAGAAAAAAACAAAGGGGCCTAGAACTCAGTCTCGAGAAATTCCAGCCTTAAAAAGCCAGGTTACACAACCAAATAATCAGGACCAGTAATTTCTGGGCTCTTATTACGTGCTGGTTATAACTAACCCCTTGCTGTATATTAGCCTACTTAAGGTTCATTAACCTTATGAGAAAAATGCGATTTTTGTATTTTACAGGAAACGGACCACAGGCAGGGTATGTGACTGGCCAAATCTCACACAGCTATTAAGTGGTGGAAATAGGCCTCAAGTCCAGGCAGTCTGATTCGAGAACTCACTCTTTTAAATGCTACAGTCTGCCAGCTTCTTTAGGAAAACTGGCAAAAGAGCCCGAGGTAGGCATATGAGAATTTAAGCTCACATTTCTATTTCACCTTTGGCTCTGTGCTGTCCAATGCCATAGCTCCCAGTGACATGTGACTTTCGAGCACTTGAAATCTGGCTAGTCCAAACTGAGATGTGCTGTAAATGCAAACTATGTATCAAATTCTGACAATTTAATAACAAAAAAAATGAACGTAAAATATACAATTAGTATTTTTTACATTTATTACTTATTGAAATAATAGCATTTTGGATATACTGAGTTAAATGAAACATATTATTAAAACTAATTTCATCTGCTTCTCTTTACTCTTTTTAATGTTTCAAATTAATTTAATTTTAAATTAGAAAATGTAAACTTCCCTATGCGGCTCCCATTAAATTTCTATTGGACAGCACTGTTCTAGATATTTTTCCCATTTGCTCTCTGGATTCTTAGTTATGACATGCACTATCAAACAGTTAATAAGCTCTCTTTGACACACATTGAGACCCGAGCTCCAAGCTCATCCCCCAGGTCCTCAGGCCCTACCCTCTGTGGTGTTTCCATGGTAACCTTGCTTGGGAAGAGAAAGATGCTTTTTAATCTGAGTCCTAAAAATTTCCCTCCTCCAGCTTTATGTCACTTCATACTGATTTTATGGTTATCTCTTCTGTTCATCTCTAAGAGTTTGCACGATTTTTGACCTCATGGAAGTTTAGTTCAGCGGTTTTCAGGCAGATGAATATTTAAGAATCACTTGGGAAGTTTTCTCAAATTATACAAGGCCATCACCCTGGAAGTTTATATGTGTTCTCCACCTCCAATGAGGGATTACTGATCTAATCTCTCTCTTGTCTGATGCATGAACTTGCTACACTATAAACACTACATTCACGTTTGTTTCCTGTCCTCTTCTGTCTACTCAGTCAGCTCCTCAGCTCTCTAATATCATTCCTGCTGTGTTTACCTACTAGTCACCAAGGGGCTCCAATTGAGTCCTATGACACAGACTCTGAAATGCTGATTTTGGTTCATCTGGCCATGGAAGGCTGACAATGGATCTGATCAGGATAATGGTTACTGCAGGTTCATCCATCCAGTTCACATGAAAATATCCATCTGCCTATCTAGGAGCCCTCTGGTAGACACAGGTATCTGCTTAGAGAAGACTTTTCCCAGATCAGTATATAAATATTTGCAACACAGTCAAGGTAAAAACAAGAAGTGAGTTTCCTCACAGCCAATAATGCATTAGCAAAAGTAATCTGATGGAATGGTTACAATTTAGGGACTAGGGAGAATAGAGGTAAGTATTTACCGAATGCAGTTTTATGGTTTTCTTTTCTTTTACTCTGAAATTTCCCCTCACATGCTGTAAAGCCTCATGGATGTGACTAATGAGTATGTTGCAGGTAGGTAGACTGTTAGAAGATAGAAAGAACAGAAATTTAGAAGTCAGAGCACTTCTATTTCTTCTTCTGTAAAATGGGGCAATAACACTCAATTTAGAGGTTAAATAAGATGATAAAAGTAAACTACTTGGAGAATAAATTAAGATCTTTATAGGGGGCTGGCCCCATGGCCAAGTAGTTAAATTCGCAAGCTCCGCTTCGGTGGCCCAGGGTT